AAAATGCCAATGCCGAGAATCATTTCTTGTGTTACATTTGTAGACAAAAAACATCTTTTTTTTTTTTTTTTAAAAGGGGCATTTTCCTAGGAAAGTCAGCTACCTCCCGACCTTCTTTCCCAAAAGACATGTTCATTTTGGACTACCCAGATCCTGGTGATTGCCAAAGATGCAGTTAGGACACCTAGTTTTTACCGAGTCAGTGTTCACTCTTCTGTTTACTGAAATGCTCATGTAAGTAAAGAAACTAGCTCGAAAAATATCTCATGTAACCCAGATTTTAGGCTCTGTGTTTCCATATAAAAACAAACTGCAGGCCAAGGCCCTGAGAAGCACATCATTTAATTAGAAATGTTCTGCAGGCACGTAATCAAACCTCATGTGCTGCCGTGTAACTAACAGGAGGCAGTGCCAAGGACGGATGCCCAGACCTCTGGAATTATCCGTTCTCCATACGTGCTGGGCTTATTGGCATTATCCCCCTAGTAAAGAAGCAGGCAATCTCAAAATCCATCTTGTTCTCATCGGTGGTCTCTGCACACACAGGTCTAACGCAAACCTTGAGTTAAAAAGGGAAGAACCTGTGCAGAATCCAGGGGATGCAATGCATGCACGATGCACGGGGACACCCACATGCAATCAATTTAACAGACTTCACCTAATAAATTACTCCTGGAATAACAGGAATTACAAATAGGCAAGAACTCTGTCCATTCCTCTACAAAGAAATAGTTGCAGCTCTAGGGCAAAATGATATTTTCACAAGCTCAGGCAGACCATTCATGTATATTTGCTCCAGCATTTCAAAAATTTCCTCCCTTGAAAAGCATACAGCCAACAGAATTTACTCCCAAACTTTTTTTTTTCTGTTATTTTTCTTTTTCCCCCCCAAAATAAGCCTCTCCTGAATTTATAAGCCTCTCCTGAAATCATAACGCTATTAATTAAATGGTTTTTTCCCCCCAAAATAAGCCTCTCTAAATACTGAAATCATAACGCTATTAATTAAATGGCGATTAACTTCCTGGGATGAACCTCTGCTTCTGAATATTCCAGCAATTAAGAAAATGATTGTTTTAACCGTATTTTTTAAATCTCCGTGGCATCTAATAATCCAAGCAAGGGTCAACCTCTGCAAAGCCCTGCACTTCCACAGCAGCTGCCAGCAGATGCCCTTGACGAATTATGGATGAAAAACCCAGCGCTCCCTTTTCACACTGTACAGTCGCATTGCACATTCTGCCACCGCAGCTTCCCAATATACGAACCACACTGACGGGCTTCAGGAACGCGTTCAGCAATTCCAGAAAGGAAATCTGCTGCAAGGTACAGTGTCTAGAAGACAGAGTTGGGATTTATGCTCTGGAGATGAATGCCAAGACAGCAGATGCCTGTGGCTGAGCGAGAGACGCGGCGAGGATGTGGAGGAAGGGCCCCCAAACCCGGCTTTGCCCGTCCCTGTGCGCCTGGCTCAGCGGGAGTTGTGTGGTCGGATGGATTCCCCTCCTTCCCGCTCGGAGCCCGGCACGTTTCAGCCATCGGCTTCTCCAGCTCTCTGCACGTCTACAGCCCCCAGTTAGATGTGCAAGCAAGATTTCTCTGAGGACCAAAGACTAAGTGCTCAAACCGTCTCAGCCTGAGCCCCAGCAGATCTCCACGGCCCAAACAGGCTCGGACATGCTCTTCTTGTAGCCACACACAGTGCAATCCTACCTGGCACCCCGCTAATAACCGGGGAGCAGACAGCAATGCTAGGGGGTTCAGCGTAAAGGAGTCATCCTCCCAAACAGACAGCCAAAGGCCAGGCAAACCTCAGGAATAAGCCTTGTTTGGCAGCTTTACTTTCATAAACCTGTATTCCCAACCGTTAGTCTCCACCAATGCACCAGCTACACCTGAAAATTTGGAATGAAGCCTTTAAGGCAAGTGGCATAAGCACTCGCTTTATCTCTAAGGGGTAGGGCAAGATCAAGTACTGAAACTTGCTCCATGACCTTCATTTTTACACACTCAGCTCTTGCCTACACCAGAAAGGGACAGAACAGTACCGGAACTTGAAAAGAAAACTTGCAAGGCAACTAGAGCAAGTCTTCTGCTTATCCCCATTAAAATCTGCCAGGCCCTCGGCCACCTCCATCAGCAGCCTCTATTCCTCAGCCCGCTCTCCTAAACGCCAACCCTTCCACGACAGGGAAGCCGACTCCACGCACCGCTCCCTCCTTCGGGCGCCGGCCGGGCCTGCAGCCCGCGCCTCACGTTAATCCCAATCCCGACATTCCTGCCCACGGAGAATCCACGCAGAAACGCACCCAATTGAAGTACTTGGCTTTCAAAGCAGTCGGCCCCCCTGCTTACCACATAGGGCCTCGCCGAACTCGAAAATAAACACAGCTTTAAAGCAGCGCCTCGGTGGGCTGTTTAACCTAGCTCGCTGCCAAACCCGCAGAGGCTGCGGATTATCGATAGATTCAAACTCCTGAGTCAATAATCTGAGTTTTTGGACAGCCTGGTCCTCAAATCTGTTTTCTTGGATAGCTTTCGGGTTTGTCTGCAATAGGCTTTTTGTGCTTGATAAAAATGCCAGCCATCTGAAACCAGGTCCCAAAGAGCAGAAGCCAATGTTATCAACGCTCCAATATCTTCCCACTGTTAAACTCCAAGAACATTCCAGTTACTTTAAGAAAGCTTCTACTTAAGCAACAGAATAGTGGATAAAAACAGCAGACAGCAAATAAAATAATCAAAACCAACCGCAAACTAATCTCATTTACACAGATTTCAACCTACGTACAGTAAAACAGGGCCACCGCTGTCATCAAGAGCATCAAGTTTTGGACTTTGGGGAATGGTGAATCACAGAATCACAGAATGGTTAAGGTTGGAAGGGACCTTCTACATTTTTTCCACTCTACTTTCAGGAAGAAATGTAAGATGATTTCAGGAACGACCCTAAGTAGGTTTAAGCCCCAAGAAATATAGTTTGCCCTGCCCATTAGGAAAAGCAACAACAGCCTTCCCAAAGCCCTCAAATCCATAGCAAGCTAACACTTTTTTCAGTGGAATGAGATTATTCTACACTAACATTCAAGTGAGAACTTCACGAGAGAACAGGGAGCCAGAATATCTTTAGCTTATTCTCTCCCTCCTCAAGGGCAAGTGCAATATTAAAACAAACAGTCGAAAAAAAAAATCACTCTTCAGCAAACATGTACCTAACTATGTATTTCTGTGACATCTATCTTAACGTGTAAATACTTAGGATATATATGAAAAGCTTGTGCCACCCCTCCTATGCTCTCTGATGTGCTCTGTCTCCATCCCTGTTTTTTTATGTCTAGTTGTGACTATAAATGAAAGCAGAGTGGGAGACATGGGAGACAATACTTTTCAGTCCATGATTTTCTTGGGCCATTTACACTCCTTTATAAAAAGCACCAAGAAACACGATGTCATCGAGCATGCACTTACGATAAAGGTATATGCTACCTGAGTAAACACATGCTTAAACAGCCCTTTTTATCCTCAGCATACTGAATAGTTTATAAAGTTTAAAATATACAGCTTTACGGAGAAAGGAGTATTTCAAACGCACTTTTATCAACAAAATTCTTCATAGAGACCATGTCAGTTCTAATCGTCAGCAACAGATATAAAAATCAAAACACAACCACACTTAATAACTCGGCTAGAAAGGGGGTTTCATGTTTTTAGTCAGTAATGATAACTCATTTATAATTGATGGATATACTTATTTGCATCAGCACTTATTGCCAAAGTAGCCCATGGCAAAGCACTGCAAATTCCACTATATATGCTATAAATTTTAAGGCATTATTGAAGTTTCCTCAAGTTACTGCATTGCATACATGTTAACATTTCATTCAACTATCACTTGGTTTGATATAATTAATTTTAAAAATACATATTTTCTGTAAAACAGTTACTTAAATCTCCACAATAACCACGTTTCAAAAGCATTTCATCAAGATCTTTAATAACTTTAGTGATATTCAATCTCTTGCTATAAGACTCCATATAAACATTCGGCAAGCATGCAGATCCATGCAAGTGACCATGAAGACCATTTTACCCTGTCTATACACTGTTCATTAAAAAATTATTTTACTCAGTTTAAGGGTTATAACATTAAATCTTTTGTTCCAGCTAGAGCTGCGTGGAAAATAAACTTTCTTTTGCACTGAAGGAATATTTTAAATTTTGATTGAATTAAGAATAGAGCCCCTTCTCCCTTCCCCCTCTCCAAGAAAAAATCTCAAAACCGCCAATAAACCAAAGCCCGAAACATTAACTCGGTGTTGCTCCACAGCATTCTGTTAAGTCCAAAGACTCTGCTATTTGGGCTTTTCCCCTAACAGCTAAAAGTAGCGAATACAAATTGTGTTTTCAAAGAGACAGACTTTCTGGTTTATTTATTGTAAGAACACTCTTTTCAAATCCGCTATGCAGCACCGCATCTTGCTTTCAAAAACCCAGCAGTTTGCAATTAAAAAATTAGCCAGTCTGGAAACCCAGGGACGGCTATATGGGTGGCACCAGAAACACAGCTAATCCAAGCTTTGGTCATGGATTGTTTTTCTACCAACCAGCCTTTGAATTACAGGACTGACACACAGCCCAAACGTAAATCTGCAGGAGCAACAAAAGAAACATAAAACAAAGATTATGTTTTTTTTTTTTTCCAAACATGTGTGTGTCCAGCCCATGATTTCATTCTCTTTTTGAATATTCAGGAGGACTTCCAGCTATTTCTGTACCAAGCTGCTTGGCAAGAGCTTCCCCCTGTCCCCTAAGCGAGGTGGGCGCTGCTCCCCCGTCCCGAGCGAGGGTGTTTATCGCTCCGACCCTGTTAGCTGGCCCTGGAAGCATTTCCCTCACCTTGGCCAGAAAATGCTCACATCCAAGGAATCAAACAACTGCATCTATTACGTTAATGCTTTCCGGTTTGCACGAAATAGAAAATTACATTCATAATTCAGTATGTAAGCTAAGTGAAAAACAGCCTTTTCTTTTTTTCATTTTTCTCCTGTGAAATTACATCTCCTACACTCAACGGCTAACCTGTTAAACCCCTGCAAAACAGGAGTTTAAAAACAGGAGCACTGCCCCGCTTTCCAAAGGACCTGCTCTAAACAGATCTAGTTTTGAGATTTGCATTCAACCACCTGACTACTTATAATAGATTATCATAAATATTCTCATATGTTTAACATGACAAATACAACCTAGCAAAATAAACCCTTGCCCCACGTATCAGATTTGTCTTTTCCCTCTGAAGATGAACTTTGATTTGTACATGCTTTGATGTCATGCTTGTGAAACAGAAACTCTTACCCTCCCATATATTATTAAGATTTTTTTAAGATTCTTTCCATCTTCTACACAGTTCAAACACACTCTTTGGACTTCTGAGTAGAACATAGGGAGGGGGGAAAGGATTGCACAATTACCACTGACTGATGTTTCTCTTTAAACACTATTCCAGTATTTCCAACTAAGATCTATAAATCTCTTATAAATCTTATTCTAATAGTTTATTTTGAGAACTCCCTGATGTTAAGTTCTTCAGCACAATTAAGAATTCCTCATTGATTGTTTTTGTTTTAAAATACTATCAATTTAAAAATACTATCATAAACAAACAGCAGCGAGCCTCAGATCATTAGCTAGGAATCTGCACAAAGTATTTATGAGTGAACTGAGATGAAATGGAACACAGACTTTTTGAACACAGAAAATCTATGTATTTGTGTATACACACACACACACACACACATTCATTTTTAATGATACAAAGTTTGTTGAGATACCCACAAAATGCCTCAAGGCACAACTGACATTACCAGAGTTTCTCTTATGCTCAGAACGTATGTCACAGCAAAACATATTTAGTATATCCTCATAAATATTTATTTACTCACATTGTAAAAACATGAGTTTGGCTTTCACAAATTTCTGTTGCAATTGCAAGACTTGTTAAGACATGTATCTCTTTTTGGTCGACTTCCCTAGTATTTTTTATCCAGAATGATGCACTTGATTCAAATTTAATCTACTGTGTTTACACATTCCCCAACTATTCTTTTAATGTTTAGTAATAGCATTAACATTAAATGTTTGCAACTATGAAGGTCTTACCTCAAAAATTTCAAAGCCATAGATGTCCAGCACTCCCATTACCTTCTTTCTCACTTTTGTTTGTGCCTTTAAAAAAAAAAATCTGAGTTAGTCAGCAACACATTTCATACTAATGGGTCTCACAAATAAGATGTCCAATTGTATAAACTAAAAGATTAAGTATAGTTTCCAAAAATGCACTTAAAGTGAATAATTTTGCAAGCTTAAAAACAGAGCAGACAGAAACTTGAGGAGCTGTGATGCAGTGATTCACCTGAACCACGTGTAGCAAACAACAGCCAGGGAAATTAAATGGCAAGTATCCTTTCACTGTCCAGTTTAACCTAACCCATTGCCATTGATTTTCCTTACAGGCACAATGCAAGAATACCTTAATGCTCTCATTGATCCTGGTCACCAGCCACGAAAACAGTCGACTGTACAAATTCTTAGCCAAAGCATCACGTGCATAATAAGCCTGAAGGAGAGAAAGAAGAAACCTGTTATAAATCCTAGGGAATCCCAATGTTGTGCCAGGGCAAGACCCTCGAGGTCTCCACCTCCCTTCCCACCCCTGCCCAGACCCCTCTGAGATTCCCATTCCCCAGGGGCATCCATGGATTCGTGACCGGGAAATCGCGCTGCTTCCAGTCTCAGCTGACGGGACACTGGGAGAAACGCAGCACGTTCTCCCCGGCACGCGTGGCCATCACCCTGGCCTCGTGGCACTACGAACACATCAGTTCAGAGTGGCAGCACAAGTCCTTCCACAGCCCCGGGCATGCAAATCCCATGGAATTACAGACACCGCTCTAAAGGACAACAGTCTGCTACACCAAAGTCCTCGCAGACATTTTGGTGCACAACTGTTGTATGTTTGCATCTCCTCCAAATTTTCCTACTCCTCTTTTCAGGCTAATTCACATGAGAAAACAAAACATCCAACATATTTGAAGGTTTAAAGACTGTTGAGGAAAGGCACAGTTATGTGACTGATATTTTATTCAATACAGCCTTGTCAGTTGTAGTTTTATTTGTACAGTTAGGCTGTACTCATGGGGATGAATTCCCATTCCAAACAAGGATTCCCTTTAAGATCCCTCTTTTTACCTGAGCCACATTGAGTGTTGTGGAAACTTTTTCTTGTTTGGCTTCAACCGTCCGGAAGCTGAAGGCTCTTTCCAGCACTGACTGGTCTATACCTGTCAGCTCACAGATCTCCTTCAGTTCTAAGGAGAAAAGGGAAGGTGTCAATACATAAACATGGGCAACTCCTTTCATATTACTGGGCCCTTCACCCCTAAAACTATTAAACTCAAAACTAAATAACTCAGTGTTTTTCCAAAACAGGGTGGGTTGTTTTGGTTTTTTTCTTCCTCTAGCTGAAGTTACTGCCCATTGAAAAAGTCTTTTTAAAGTACTTTCTAATTGTTTTTTTGTGAAGAAACCTTTCTTCCATTTCTCATAGATTACTTTTCCTGAAGAAAAACTTGTGAATGAAAATAAAACAACTTTCAAAACATATGAATTGCAAAACCATCCCATCAAATGACCACATGAATCTGGAGTTACAGACAGTGATACACCACTACCAAAGAACTAGAAACAGAATAACCAGTTACAGAACTGCATGGAAAAGTTTACCACTTCAGTGGGAAGCTTCATTACAGAGGAAAAAAATGAAAATAACCATTTTGGGAATTTCAGAGTGACTGAAGTTGTACAGAACTCCACACGCATTTACGTACAGATGAGTTCTGGGAACAATCTCATTTAACCCACCTAGAAGGATATCTCAAGTCTGCAGAAATTACAAAACTTATGATTTCGACACATTTGTGTTTTCCCCCTCCATCACCAGTCTCCTCTTACCATTTTTATCCTTGATTTTACTTTCATCTAAGCCATTCACTCGAGATTCTGGTTTAAATTCAATATTTCCCAATTTTAGAACTGCTGCCACCACTTCAAAAACAGACTGTGTTTCATGATCCATAAAACCAACAATCTGCATGGCATTCTGGAAAGGGGACAGATAAAATTAGGAGCTAAAACAAGCTAAATCTAAACAGATCATATTTGCAAAATCTACCACACTATCTATATTAGCATAAATTAGAAATGCTTTATAAACAATCACATTACAAAACAAACATGACATAATTACTAGGCTTGGATAGGTACAATTTAGAATATAAAACAGGGCTTTATTTTTATGTATATATATACTATGTGTGTATATATATATACACACACACACATACATATATCAGACACATTTATATCTGGTAATCAAGCTGTCCACACAACTGTCAAGCCAGTCAAGGACTCTAGGATTCGTGCCAGACTACTGAGAACAATTTATGTTGAAAAGTCAAGTCGTACTTTTTTTAGCCACTGAATTTAATTTGTAACACAAGCAAAATTTCCAAAGTCAAGTGAACAGATACCGCTGTTCACCTAGTCCAATACGTATCGGAGTCTAAATTTATATACACTGGATAACAGGTTGTTCTGTTCTTCCTCCTTGAGTGCAGTCAAGCAAGAACATCCTGGTAAATCAGCTTATCTTGAGAGTCATTCCAGACCCGTTTTTCTTTTCCTTCGTCAGCATCACCTGGGTCATTAAGCCCAGTCCACCTTAAGCAACCACAAGATACTCCTCCTTCCATGAAGGGATCCAAGGGCTGCTTTGTGCCTCTGTGCGTGTGTGTGTCACCTCACCCTCACTGTTCTGAAGTTTGCAGCATCATCCACCCCGTTCACGCGGGCAGAGTCGAGCCCCAGGTAGTTGTATCGGCTGAAGTCCCGCTCCAGCTTCAGTTCGCCTAATAAATGGAATAAAAGCACCATTAGTGTCAGCATTCTTGTGGGAAGTTCTCTTAATCCCAGAGCCAGCAATGCCAGGAGCTGTTGTTATTAGCAGGATTAGGTTTTCCTTAAGGATTTTCCAATGACAAGCCTTTTGAATAAGAATAAACTTTCCTCAGTGTTTCTAAAACACCAGAAAGCCAACCCCAACACAAATTTCTGGATAGCCCCAAACCATACATTTCCTTCTGGTATTGCAACTGCCACTATCACCCACAACAGTAATTTAAAAATACTGTGTTTCCAACCAAACCAAAGACATGTGTGGAAGTGTAAATGGAAGACAAGAAGAATCCCACACCTGGGAATGGCATAGGTGCAACACTTACAGAGGAAGTCTTCTGAGGCCCCAGACAGGATCTGATAGAAGATATGGAAGTTTCTTTCACCTCTTGGTTGCTTAACAACACGGGACTTCTCTAGCAGATCTAAAAAACAAGCATAAAAGAAAGAAAGAAAAAAAGTGTCAGGGGAAAAAGCTGCTCAATCGCGAATCTTTAACAGGAATCCCTTCTTTTTTCTATGTCATCACCAAATATTGCTGATACGCCATCAGCAATTATCTGTCAGGAAATATTATGCACAAGCAACCACAATTAATCAAATCAGCAAACATTTCTCAAATAAGTCACTGGAGCAAGCATAAGAAGCCCATGAACACTTCTAAACACTCCAGGCTACCAGCTACGAAAAAGATTGAGTCGTGGGAGGAAATGGACGTCCCAACGTCCCAAACAGGGCAAACCACAAAGTTACAATCTGGCAAGAAACCTTTTGTAAGAAAAGTTTCCAGGAGCGCTGTAATAGCAACAGGCTATGAACACTAAAGATGATTAAATGAAAAGAAGGATTTAGATGGAATGGTCCCATAACATCTTGTGATTCTTAAATGCACCGAGCAAACGTTCCCCAAGGGACTGACAGAAGCTTCCTGGTGAGACATGGGAAAGGCAACGGGAAGAAATTGTGCTGCAAAGCAGCAGTTAGACAAGCGATTTGCTTAGCCCACCACCAGCAGCAGCTGGTTTTGCAGCCTCACCTGGGATTGTTAAACGCTGTGATACAAGTGAAGTGTTGCAATGGAGCGCAGCCAGACCTAAGCTCAAATAAACAAACAACGGTCGGCTCCCGCCGCGGCCGCGAACGCTCCAGGAAACGGCTGCGTTTTCAAAGGATTTGGAAGCGATCTTAGTTGGTGAAGATGTTTGGCTTATTTGGGCTTAAAAACATTCTATGTCTAAATTTACTCAAGTACGGTCAGGAGGCCTTAGCTCCCCTGTCCTGGCAAAATGCAAGACTTCTACGGAGCTCCTCCAGGAGCTGCGACAAACAGGTTTTCATGGAAATGTGAAACGAATTACGTCAGCGTAGGTACCTTTGATTTACCTGGGGTTTGTTTCGTTTCCCCTATGTGTACTTAGAAGCAAGAAGTGTAATTAATGGAGCAGCAGTTTTCCCGAGCCCAGCGCTCCGTATCTGTGCGCAGGGGGTCAGGCGCTCCCCTCCTGACCCTTCCGCACGCCGCGTTCGTTTTCTCCTCTGCTTTTATCCCTGCTCCACGCACAGGCGTGATCAGACCAGCAGCCAAGAGCCACCCCTCTGCCCTGCTCCCCGGAGACAGGATTTTCTCCATGTGGTTTGCCCTATTTGCATGGGAATAAATCACCCTGCGGCATTGCTCTAAAGCTCTGCTGCACGATGGGGAACGTTGGTGCTCGCCCGCGGTTCTGTGCGCTGGGCAGCCGGGGGGCTGGCCCCACACTCACCTGCTCACACTGCCACGCTCTCGGCACCGCGTGTGGGCAGCTGCTGCTTACACGGATAGAGATAAGCCCAAAGAAAGAAAGAAAAAAAAGAGAACTCCATACGTATCACATTTTACATTCTTTCTGCATTACCTAACGCTGATCCTGTTGGAAGGGAAACATCTAACGCGTTCCCTGTATCAAAGCCACTGCAAAGATTAAACTGCTCTGGAAAGGTCAACCCTGAAAATACAATCCATTTTTAAATCACTGTCAGATTGCACACTAATATTCTGAAAGCGTTTTGCTGCAATATTCATTTATCGAGAGGACTCAAATCCCTCAGGTTCTGAAGATTACTCATTATTCCTAAATAACACTGTAATGCAGGAGAGCCACACGCGCACCCCGCAAAACCACTCAGCTGAACTTGGACCACAACAAAACACCCACAAAGGATGCCGAGGGCTCCTGCAAACTACAACTGCACACAAATCCAACAAGAGTTGTTTCAAGGGGCACAGAATTACTTGAGACACTTGCATATCCGAGGATCCTTCTGGCTATTTCAATTTACAGAACGGTTTCTAGTCAGAGAAGCTTATCTCTGCACCAACCTTACGCTATGTCAAAGCATTTGTTTTCCATTTTCCCATCTGGATTCCTTCCCGTTAAAACACATCACTGATGACCAAGAAAACACAATAGCGGGTTCTCAGGGGTTTGTTCTGCGTGAACTCCCACCAGGTTTATAGTGACACTCTCTTGAAGGAAACAACGCAAAATTACATCAGGCAACAAAAAGCGATGGGAAGGAGAGCGTGTGGAAGGACAAGCAAGGACTACACAACTTAAGAGTATTAAATCCTGATTGCTCGAATGGTAAGTGACCTTTAAAAAAAAAAAGAGCTAATCAAAGTATTTAGGGTTTTGCTTTAAGGCACTTCCTAATGTTGGTGAGACAATTGCGTAAAAGGTAGCAGTGGTTCTAAATAAAACACTAATGGAGAAGCTGAAACAAGCTGAAATTAAAAATAAATGGGAAAGAGAATCTCTTCCCAGAACGTCTACTTATTAAAATCCTAGGTGACATTTCCTTGAGCAAAGGAAATTACTAGCAACAGCTGTACAACTAAAATTACCAGCCCGGGTGGTTGATTTCTCAGTAAATGAGTAATTGCATTTTTTTTTTTTTAATAAAGGAATGAGTTTTAAAGAACAGGTTATTATTAACACATCGCAAAAGTTGTTTCTTTAGATGAAGATCCTGACTTTTTCGGGCTGTTTTTGAAGAAGGTGGAAGAACAAGGATCTTTTCCTGGCTGTCAAACCCTGTCATGGGGACTTCAGCCCCGCCGTGCTGGTTAAGAGCGGCTTTTCCAAAGCAGGCACCACCCCCGTGGCACTGCACATGCACCACGGCTGGCTCCGAGTTAATCATTAAGTCCCTGAAGGGCTTTGGCAGATCAGGAAACATCACCCAAAGCTAAAAACGTTTCCTCCGCAGCTCAGAGTGCACGAGAATCGCCCGCAAGCCCAGGCCGCGCGTTGGGAGCTCTCCTTCCTCCAGCTCCCGGCCCCGTTACCACGAGAGCTTTAATAAAAGGGAAATGAAGAACAGCGCGGATGGTTTCTGGTGTTTCTTTCCACAGCGTTACACCCAGGCAAAGGCGAGTTAGCTACCAAGCCCCCAAGTGCCCTTCTGCACGAGTTCTCTGGAAAAACCCCTCTGTATCAGGCCTCACGGGACCGTTCAGCTCCCTGCACAGAGCTGCAGGAAGGGAAGCACCGCTTGGGAGGACGGAAGGAGCCGGGAGGTGGCACGCTGCGTACGGCAGGGCAAGCTCTGCAGAACTATTTGCATCTCCTTCTGCTGTAACAGGATTTTTATGAGGTAACTCAGCATGGTCCTTTCACCAAAAAGCTCTCGGATGTCCAGGCCACAAAAGAGATTTCCTGTTTTTTGTAGCAGTTCTGAACACAGGGGAGGAAAAACACAAAAATATAATTAGCCCACTGAAAGGTTTTTGTCTACATTTAATTATTGATGAATTCCCCAAGTATGTTTGGGCTCTAATTTCTTTAATTGCAAAACGTCAGGGTTAATAGACAGCCACAATCAGCTGAACAGTTACTCCTTTGAATTTCAAGATCTGCTCTACCATAAAAACTGCTCCTCCAGGCACATGACCTGTGCAAAAACTACAACTTTCGTGTGAAAAACTTCTCACAATTTTGTAAAATGTTTATATTCCGTATAGAAAGTACCTTGGAAGAGTCATTATTTCACGGCTGGTGCTGTGGCAATGGAGCCAAATTCGACCTTTGGAAGCAGTGATGAATTTGGCTGAATGGGAGGAGAGGTGAAGGCGAGGCCAGGGACACCCAGGAGAGCCACTCACTGCCCTCTTCCACCCTTGCTTAAAAATACAACCCCCAAATCACTTTATAAAGCACAGTTTCCCTAAAAAGCTGCATTGAAGCTCTAGAAGGAAAAGCAACCGGAAGCATCCTGACCCGGCACTCTGTTCACAGCCTCTCTCTTCCCACCTGGTTAAAATTGCCTTTTTGGTACCATTTCCTTAGCTGCAGCCTTCCTTCGAGGAACAAAATCCAAAGGCCACCTTCGCCTTCCCGGCTCAGCAGCTGCAGACCCTCTTCCCAGATGGAGGGGTGTGTTGGGGTCAGCGTGGGCTGCTCTGATGTCCAACCAACACCCCATATCCTGGGAACGTCCCGCATACTCCGTGTGGCTCCCACTAATTACACGAGGGCCTGTCTGAGCCATCATCCAACACAAACGCTGGCCACATCCATCACAGGACACAGCCAAACCCAGAGATTCGAGCGCAAAACGGTCTCCAAAACCCTTATTCATCTGCAACCACCTCCAGAGGCCACATATGGGCACGTGCTCTTTACTCACGATCGTTTAAAACACTCACCATTCACAGCTGCATCTTCATCTTTTCCTTTTTGCTTATACCAAGTACTCTAATCAGCCGTTTAAAACACTCACCGTTCATAGCTGCATCTTCAAAGGCCTTTTGCTTATACCAAGTACTCTAATCAGCACCAAAGCAACAGCAAAGGTAAAGATTAAAAAAGCAGAGCAGAATTCATCACACAATGAGAGGGATCCAGTTAGACAAATGTATTTATCATCTCAATAATTTAATCTTCCCAAATAAAACATTTTAAGCTGCTAGTATGCTGACAGAAACAGTAATACTCACAATTGCTTATAACTCCTCCAAGCGGGTCTCCTTTAAAATCAAACTCAATATCCATGTATTTCCCCTGTGAAAGCAATATATTTTCAGAATTAAAATTTGGCTTAGATTTTTTTTCAAACATAGTCAGTCATTTTTACAGGGTCAGAGAGCAATCTGCAACCTCTGGCATACTCTGTTAAACTTTAAAGAGCTCTAAGACAACTTGGCTGCCACAGCCAAAGATTTTCATGACAACTGCTTGTATCAGGTTTTAAAGCAACGCACTGATTTTGCTCGCTGTGTAAGAATATATAACATTTTGGTAATATTATGAACAACCATGTCATACAAACTTTCATCAGTGTACTAACACCACCGAACAGCACTTATGGCCACACATACATATATACAGTAGTACTCTAGTTATTAACGGAAGAAGCCAGGAGGAAACAAAGTTAATTATCTTCCCAGCAGCCTTATTTTCCAGCTGTAAAGTCTTCCAGGAACATGAGAGTGGTTCCATTGGCTGCAGGAACTGTTGGGCAACAACCACTGGTAGGACGGTGACAGCCGCACACCGAGCGTGCAGTGAAAGGCAGCGCAGCCCCAATAGGGAGAAAGTTTAGGAAGGCAAGACCTGCTGGTAGGAATCCAAACACATCCCACAAACCACACGCAAGGAGCAGCTCCGTGTCCTCCAGGCTTATTTAATAGAGGACACAAACAAGCAGCTGGAAAGGGAAGCTTTGTGCTCATACGTCCTCATTCATCACACTTGGGGAGACATTTTTCTTTTTTTTTCTCCTCATTTTTACTACACAACATAAAAATTGAGCACTTTATATTCACTATCTCAGAGACACTATCTGTTTTACTGGGTATTTTGTCAAGATTGGCTGATTAAGCTCCTACTTAAACTCTATTGCTCTGCTTGCTGGCAGCTGAGGCTCACTGGACAGGAAACAGTGTTTGTTCATTCTTCTTATTTCTGAGCCAACTCAAATTTTAAGATAAAAAAAATTCAATCAGATAATTAAGCTTTAATTTCCCCAAGGACTGGGCCGCTTGGATGTTTCCAAAAGTATTTTTAGCTTGGAATTTACAAGCAAAGACTTGAAAGGGGAAATACCAATTGGCTGCACTTTGTCTTGGAAAGCCTCCTGTTTCCAAAGCCACCTTTTCTTTGCTCTGCCATCTCATCCTCCCTTCTGTAAAACATCGTTCGCCTCTGACAGCTGCACTGTTTTTTCTGCCACAATTTTATGACCCTTCCGTTGTCCACTGGTGCCAGTCTTTATGGCTCTGCTGCACACAGCAAGCACATTACAAAGCAGTATTCTCACTTCTGATTTTAGCAGGAGAAACAATGATGGACTCACACTTGAGTCCCCCAGCTGTAGTTCATCTTCTTTTTGTCCCGTTGTCAATTCTTGTAGTGTTTCATTGTCTCACACTAAAAATCCCAATTTAACTGTTTTTTTTATAAGGGATGTAATATACATCCCATAGAGTAACACTACAGATATTTACATTAAAACTGAAGTTGTAAAAACACTGGTTGAAACTTCAGTGGATAAGAACCAGAATTGAAATTTCCCTTTAGAAAAATGTCTATCTGTAAATGGAAAGTGACATCACACAGAAGGACAAACTTGCTAAGCAAACGAGTTGCTAGGCCCATGGTCTCTGTGAAAGCCACCAGTGCCAGAAAGTTAAGAAATCCAGCTGCCCCGTAATTACGTTTTCATCCAGTCACAGCCTGTCAGCTCCTAAGTTGGCTTGTTTTATTCTAGGATGATCCTGAACAGAACTTTACGCTCACATCAGGAACCATCAAGGTTTTGGACAAGGAAGCTGGACGTATTTTCAAAATAGGAGTGACTGCGAATAATGAACTACATGTGTTTGGGAAAGTGAAAACACTTGATTGTACAAAACAAAAACTGAATGCTACTGACCACTAGACTTCTCCAAACTCCAAGGCATTCAGATAAGGTAAAGCAACACAAAAGTTCTCTATCCAAATCATTTATTTCTTACAGAAGCCTATGGACTGGTATCGGGGGAAAATAAAAAAGTCAACAATATCACATTCTCTTCTATAAGGAAATTGAGCCTTGAACAAAATACTTACAAATCTAGAGGAGTTGTCATTCCTCACAGTTTTGGCATTTCCAAAAGCTGGCAAGAGAGAAAGACGAATAATAAGCGTGAAGCATTCATCAAATTAATATTTAAATGGAAAAAGGCTATGACTTCTTTATTTATTTAAAAGAACCACAGAAGCCTACTAATCAATACTGCCCTCACTGCAGGACAGACTGAGGCTACCACAAAGGAGCAGACATCTTTCCAGGTCCAAAGCAGTTTTGTGTCAACATCTCAATGGATTCTCTCCTCACCTTGACCTAAACTTGCTTCTGAATAAAACTGGTGTTAAAGTCCTTGAGTTTTCTGATAACAGAGGTCTTCTCCAAGGCCCCTTCAGAGGAGGAGAGCAGAGCACGGAGCACGGACAAGGCCCTAGGCTGCCCACTGCCGACCTGCAGCGTCTCCTCCGGCTTTTTCAGGGGAGCACTCCCACTCCAGAAGGAGACTTGGATTATTTATCCCAGTGTTTATTTTTATATAATCATATATTTTCAACGATAAGTCAAGTCAATGTTTTTTTGGGGTAGAAATAAATACGTGCTTTTAGTCTTCAAACTTTCATGAGTAGACTTATTCTTCATGGAAGAACAGAAGCCAAAAGGAAAAGTCTGTTGCTCCTGAAGGCCAAGGATAAGTGACAGAATTGTTTTTAAAATCTTTATGCCCTGTAATAAATCATCTTTTCAGCAGCCAAATCTCTGAGCTGCATTTTCTTAAATGCAGAGTTAAACAGTAGGCTCATTTAGAACTGCAAAAAACCAAATACAAGAGTTCCATTATATAGCGAGGCACATTCCTCAGTTGTCCCTCAAACTCATTGTTTTTAAAGTTAATTTACAGTAACAACTAGAGCTAAAAAAAAGAAATCCTGCTAGATGAATTATGCATATGTAATAGTTATGTCATTTTCTTGCACTGCAACTTGACTGAAACAGAACTATGTAACCAAAGGAAAACAACTCTAACCACAAATGCTTCATTTCTGTCTAAAACTACGTAAGTGGCCAGGGCTGCGCAGCAGCCTCATGGAATAGCCCAATGTCCCACCTCCCAAAAAGCTAAGCAAGGAATTACCACAGCAGCACCAAAGAGAACCAGTGATATCTTAAAATAAGAATACACTATTCCAGGAGCATAGTGTACTCCTCTTACACTAAGCCAAGGATTCCATGAACTAGTATGAAAACCAAAGAATTTGGCAGCCCCGGGTGAGCAACCTGGGTCTGATTACTGAAGCTTCTGCCCTTCCCATCACGTTGCTGCCCAGGCCTGAAGTTTGCTTTGCAGAACAGCAACAGAAATGACCCAAAGTCTTCTCTGTGAACCAAAAATTATACTGTAGCTGCAACCCCACCATTCAGCTGGAAGTGGAAGATGTCTGCTCAGCACGATGGACTCATCCTGCAATTCTGCAAGTCTCACATCTTGTCCTTTCTTTACAAGTCTTTGCTTCTTACCCCTTTGGCATACAATCACCGATTACATTTTACCAGGTCAGTTAACTTTTGCTTTTCCCTCCCTTTTTCCGATTACGGCAGGAAAAACCTGCGCCAAGAATCAAAACTATAGACCTAAGAAGTCAACTCTGACCAAGGCACTTCTAAAGGCAATTATCAGACAACAGGATAAACTTGCAGGCTTTGAGGACTCCACATCCTATCTCTAGGAAAAAAATGAAAATTCTCTCCTAGCAGCCCACAACATTATATTGGAAAAGAAGAGCTGAAAACAAGAGGAAAAACCCCTGGGCAATCAAACATCTTTCATGGCAGAGCAGGAGAGGAATTGTCAGGAAGGCAGATGGACAGAGCTGGCTCTCTCACCAGACCTAGGCACAGTAAGTCTTAGGGAACAACACGCATGCATTTTTTTTTTTCCCAAGATCCATTTCTTCATTTTTTCCCCCTAAAGGGAAAACAATACTTAACGGATTGTTTGTTTTCTAGAGACTATAATAATATATTTGGAAGGAAATGAATCACAGGGACTGAACTAAAGTTAAATCTTTTGATACTTTCAAGCACCATAAAGCCAAGGTTAAGAGATGCTTTGCTCAAACAGAGCAGCACGGCCCAGCTGGGAAATGAGCTAACTTCCTTAGCTCCCGCTTCATAACGGGGCAATTTTCCTTCTTTTTAAGAAAACCTCTCCATAGCTGAGTAACTGTGCAGTCTTGCTGCAGTCTTCAGAGGACACATCTCCTGAGGTTTCAGGCATGGAGTAGCAGTGAAACAGCAGCAACTTCAGCTCTCAAAAGCAGCTCACCAGGATGGCTGATACACACAGAGGCAACACAGTCCTGCAAGGCCTGCATGGATCTTACCTTCGAGCACGGGGTTTGACTGCAGAAGCTGCTCTTTTACTTGGTTGACCTCGGCCCCTTTTCCACAGACAGCAGCTACGTAGGACATGACAAGTTTGCTGGCCTCTGCAGGGCGAGAGCAAAACAAAACAGTGGTGAGGACTGGCACAGAGGTGGCGGCAGCATTTGGAGGCCTGCCCTGCCTCCTGTTTCCCCCGTGGCGGACAGGAAACGCGGTCACATTCCCCTTGCACCATCTGGAAGTGACTAAGGATCTCATCCTGCCTGGGACCAGGCAACTGCAAGAGCAGATGAAAGCTGAGCCCACTCGACCTGACACCTGGAGCCCACCAGAGCTAAAAGGCCGCCGGCGGATATGGGTCATTACCGCTCCTTTAGTCTGGGCGAGAGTCATTCAGTAAGGAAAGACCATTGTTTCTAGCCGAAATCCCTCCATCTGCCCTGAAAAAAGTCTTCAGATATAAAAGTCAAGGCAGTTTCCATCAGCCCGATACACAACAAACCAGCTGCACACGTGTAACGGCAGCTCTACTGCAAACCACAGGTCAATAAACAACGGTAATTCCTGGTCACAGAGAAGTCCCTTACAAGGTAAAATGATGAGAAAAACTGCACTATTCATGTAAGACATGAAGCTAGTCTATATGTAAAACATTACAACAGTTTGATACGATTTTTGGACTCACAAAACCAGGTCTGTGGTCAGTGCCATTCTCCCATTCAGGTAGTAAGAAATATTAATATTTGCTGGTTAGGAGAAAGAGCAGACAGGAGATTTTGTTTGTAAGCAGAGTTTGTGAATGTTTAATATGATGCAAGAAAGCAAAATTTGGGGCAACAACAGCTGGTACTGAATGTATTTGCTAACAGCTGGAATCCTTATCAACTCAACACAATGTTATTAAAAAAATGTGATTTGCTTTCAAAGATCTGTTACAAATTTAAGAGTTTCAAAGAAATTCCCAGTCACCCCTCAGAGAGAAACAAAAAAAAATCCTTTGGTTTTTCATTCTTTCCTATCTAAGCATTTTTTTGCTAGTATTATATTACTATCCTATATTTGGGAGGAAAACGAGCAAACCCTCAATGTGGGGCACGGGCAAGCAGAGAGAACTATCGACGTGACCAGAAGACCTCCCATCTCACTTAATCATGTAATTACTCAAACCCAGCTCCCCCTTTCTTAAAATCAGTTCCCTGCTATCGTGGTTTTAACCAGAGCTTGCCACTATCAAGGTGCCCAGGTCTGAAGGTCCTCAGCTCCAAAGGGGACGATTCCATCCAACTCATACCAGCCTGGGGAGGGGTAGGGAGCTCAGGGCCGGGATTTTGCCTGTGGCAGCAGACAGACATAACAGGCCTCCCAACCTAGCAGAGAACTCCCTGATTTTACACAGAAGTCATGTGAAACACTTTCACTCCAAGGAAGTGAGCAGGCTCCTCTTGCTCGTCCTTCAACGCCAAGGGCGCGGGTCTAGTCTGCAACGTCCCAGAGCCCGCGGCTCTTCCACATCGCACTCCCCAGACCCTTGCAGAATTTCCTGAGATTAAGCTGCTCACACAGTTCCTAGGAGCTTGAGGATATATGTGGAGTGCTTTGAAGAAGACAGCCATTTCGTTTTCTCCTCCTGATCCTTTAAGAAAAAGGATGATGTTTTCCAAAGGCTTTTTTCATTGTGCCTGACACAGAGAGATGAAGCAAAAATAGTCTAGGATCCTTGGGGTGCACTTAAATTCAGATTCATTAAAAAAAAAAATCAAACCCTTCTGTAAGCATTTTTTTGTTCCAGCTCAAATTGGAAGCAGCAAATCCCTAAACACAGAGGTGTTTTATTTGCTTTGCTACCCGAAAGTACAGTTCAATGAGAGAGAACCAGGGGTGCTTTGGGTACGGCTGTTTCAGCAGCCCATTCTTAGAAACCAGGGTAGAGCAATAAGGCAAGAGGAGCCCTGTGAGCAAAGGGGCTCTCCCTGCCCCACGCCTATTTTTCACTGAATTTAGGCAGCTGAATCCACTCCCATTCCTTTATTTTCCCTCCCAACCACATATACCTGGGGAGAATAAAAACAGAAACAAAACCATAAAAATGATTCACAGGCCTACTTGAAAAGGTAACTGAGATACTCGGCTCCTTTAGTCATCACCATTCCCTAAAGGATCTCAGCTGGTTTTAAACAGGCTGTGAGGAAAGGGTGACTATCCTTCCTGGAAGAAAGGCACCTAATGGTGTTGAGAAACTCCAGCTGATGCAAGAGGAGAAAAAAAAATCTGCTGGTAACACAGGCCCAAATGTTTCTAAACAATTTGATTTGACAGATTTCCTGAAACGGTGCACGGAGAGCTACTCAATCCACGTGAGACAGGAAAGCAGCAAAGAGGCTGTTAGAAAATCATATGCACTAAGAACACAGACACTGACATCAGGATATACCCCGGACTAGAGGAAAAGGCTGCCAGACTATAAAGCTAGAAAGAGGCTTTGAACAGCGCCAGAGGAGACTGCTTCTCCACTCCTGCATCTCCTGTTCCACCCCCCTTTTCCTGGTAGTGGGAATATTCATTCCCAGCTGATAGCCCCATTTCAGCAACCAGAGCTACATCAAACACTAGGCAGGGAGTTATCTGAGATGCTAAGTCCATTATTGGCTTGAATTTCAAACCCTCCTCTTATGTTAGCTTCTTTATTCTGTACCAACTTTTATAAAAAAGGGAAAATTTCTTATTATGTCCAACACGGGAGCTACTGAACATAATCAGAATCTGCAAACAAAACAGAATAAACCAGAATCTCCAACAGAGAAGCTCAGAAACTCAGTCACTACTGTATCTTTCTCCTGAAAAAACAAAACCCATAAGCCCCAGCTTGATAAGCACCAATATCAAGCTTAATTCCTGCGGAAATCAGGAAATCTGAAAAAACAAAACCCATAAGCCTCAGCTTGATAAGCACCAATATCGAGCTTAATTCCTGCGGAAATCAGGAAATTAAATAATCAGTACAAAACTCCTTTCTAAAGATTCAGCTCCTAGAAAAAAATAATCAACAAGAATGTTTTAATATTTTACTGAGTACACATGCTTTTTTCATATTATTGACCTGATAATAATTATAAAAAGGGATGAAATAACAAGATTTCAAAATTTTGCAGCTGGGAGCCACTGATAAAGAAAACCAGGACATTACCCACCAACCAGGACATCATCCACCGAGTCCATAAACCTCGATGCTCCCCGGAGGGAGCCCCACGCTCCTCGTCTTCACAAAGGGCCTGCAAGGCGGCTCCTGCTGCACACTTTCACCAGGAGCTAAACTCTTCCTCAAACCCAAAAGAAAATCTCTAAACTGCTGTGGAACAGATGGGTGTGTTCCTACCTGCTGTGTCTTTTGCAAGATCACCTTGACTCCCTTACCTTTTAAGCAGCTTTTCAGAAAACAAGGGGTTTTTTTTGTTTTTAAGAACTTCCTACAGTGTTCTGCAATTATGCACTCCTCGCTTCATTTCTCCCATTGCACAGTTTAAAAATTATCCATAACCCACAGTTTTAAAAATTAGCGGTAATGTTCAAAACAATTTCAGTTTTGCCCAAGAGTCAGGATGTCCTGGTACAAGAAGCCAATCTCAGAACTGTAGCTGAACACAGCGTGCAAAAGACTGATGAGATTTCCAAAGCGATCAGCTGCTCTTGTGCATTTCTTTGGATGAACAGCACGATCCCGTTTACCTACATACATTTATGAAGCTACATGCAAAAGCACCAAAGATTGCCCTGCAGCCATGAGAACAAGGGCCCAGGTTCCCCGTGTGCCACGTGGGGCCTGAAAAGGGCCCTGGCCCTCGTGATGCTCCAGCACAGCCCAGTGCTACCCAAGCACGACCCTGTGTGCTAACACTGTGGGCTACATCGTGGTGACAACGCTGATTTATATAAGGCCACATCTACAGCAAAAAGTACAACAGTATTCAGCTTCTGCAACAGCAACAAGAAAAAACACAAAAAATACCATTATCACACAATATTTGCAGCTTCTCCCATCACTTTCTAGAAAATGTCTAACTTTGAACATGTTTGAATAAGACCAAAACTGTTCATTACCTGTTTTTCCAGCTCCACTCTCTCCTGTAATAAGAATGCACTGGTCTTTGTCCTGGTCCCTTAACGATCTGTAAGCTTCATCTGACAGAGCAAAGCTGCAAAGCAAGGAAGGGACAATTGAGAAGTCGGATACAACAAGTACCAACAATAAATATAATCTGCACTTTGGGCAGAAAAAAATACAGGTCTCTAAGTATGCAGGGTTCAGCAAGTGCTGAAGAACTCGGTGTTTAGAATGTGAGAGCAATCAAACCAAAACAGATACTTGTGCTCAGTGGCTTACTTAGCCTTTTTCCAGGAAAAGTAAGCAAAATCCAGCCTGTTTTCCTCAAGACAGCAAGTTCAAAGCAAATTCAAAAAAAATCAGCGCAAGTGAAAGAGAACAAAACATCATCTTCCTCGTCAGCACATTAACGGTTAGTGTTCTGCCCAACCACCAGCAGAAAGGGGCGGCTGGAGAAAGGAGAATCCTGAAAATGAGCAATACCACAAGCTGCAATTTCTCCTCTGAAAAGTACCTTGTAGTCCAGTATTGCTGGACTTCTGCCTAAATATGCAGAAGAGCTTTCTAAAGAGCGTGTTCATGACACATCCAGGGTGGCGTCATGCAGAGAAATTAAAGAATAACAAAAGAATCAGCAGCTTTCCTGCACCTAAAGCACCTTTCCACTGAGGACATCCTGAGCATGAAACTACTGGGCTACAATCTGAACCCAAGTGGACTTTGTTGCCATGAGGCAGAATATATTTTGGGAAAAAAATATATATTTTAGGAAAAACTGGGCCTGGCTCAGCCTGGGCCTGGCTCCTGCAAGCAGCCCCAGCGCCCAGCCAGGATTTTTATGGTCTAAACAGCTTTCTGGGCAACAGCTTCACACCAGGAAATTAAGTCAAGGGCAAGTCCAGGGAAGTGCTCTCTCTGTTGATATGCCCAGTTAATCATATAAGCAGTTTATAAACCATTCATCTCTTTTAATGCACTCAATTTTCAATTTCTCAGCAGCTACTGTCAGAATATATTCTAATGCTTGACATATTTATTAACTTTGCTTGCCTGCGCCGCACAGTTAAAAGCACCAAAACTTCCCTTCTCTACCCCAGCAGAGAAATGGAAAAGCTACTGACTGCAAAGAAGTCTCCAAAGCTACAAGAGAGGTGGGATTTGCTCCAGCCCTGGCTTCATTCATGCTAGTCAGAGATATTTTGCAGAGAGTATCTTTTCCTCCAATCTTCTACACATCCCAGCAAAGGCTAATACTTGTGAAGAATCTCAAAAAATAAAGTTATAATCATTTGCAGTAATTTTTCCTGCGTGCAGTTATTAGAAGCTTGCTGGTAGAGGTTTCACACTGATGCTCCGTACGCCGCTCTACCAGCACGGTCCTGGGAGGCACGGGAACATGTGCAGGGTTGAAGAGTTCTCTGCCTTTGTGGCATTGCATGAACAGCACCAGCCATTTATGCCAGAGCCTGGACCAGGTATCTTTCTTTCAAAGAAAAAAACAGGTCGAATCTTTCCTCATGTCTGCTCAAAGGCAGCCCGTCACCTCACTAGCCTTCCAAGATATCATCGTCTGTCTTTGCAATAAGAAAAAGATAAACCTTGGGCTCTTTTCAAACTTTGCTCTCTGATACAAAAATATACTTGCAGGGTATTTCCTACATGTTACAAATGTGCAAATTGGCTGAATTTCCGATTGTTTTAGTTGGACTTATTTGAACAACCTGCAGAGCGCGAGGAGCTCTTCGTTCCCTCCTCGCAGCGGCCAGAGGTGCTGGCCAAGTCAACGGTTACGACCACAGGGTTAAACCAAAGCCGCTCCTCGAGCAACCCTGTAATTATAGGGCCTAAGTCAAATCTTAGAATAGCCCCTACTTTAAAAAGCAGCTATAAACCATATGTTTCAAAGCAGCCGGCGAGCGTGTCAGCAGTGTCATTTACCACACCTTATAATAAGTTCCTCTTTCATTTTCAAGTTTTGACGAAAAAAAGACAACCTCATCCTACCACAACAAACACAGAAATATTCACTGGAACTCTTTTTTAGTGGAGATTTAAGTATAGAAGCAATGTGAAATCTAACGGGATCAGGAAGAAAGCTCTGCTTTTCTGGGGCCAGCTCCTGTAGCCACGTAGCTCCAAACAGCTGGAGCTGTCCTGGAGAAACAAGAGCCCTAACCCAGAAACGCTAACACGAAGCTTCTCTCTTTCTTTATGAATACACAGGAGCGTTCTGTATGAGGACAAAGCACAGAAATTAGTTAAATTCTCTGCAATATTCTATGTAAAAATGTGAGAATCACAGTTTGCTCCGGTATAAAGAAAAACCTAATAATCTGAGATCAGAAAAACACGTTTTATAAATTGCTTTGAGGTTTTATTTTGCATATTATTGCTATTTATTACGTGTGTCACCCAACGAACCTCAGGGGATGGAAAAAAAAAAACACATTTAGGAAAGAGAATTATAAAAGATTATTTGTATTGCTGCCTCGCAGTACAGAATCACTTAATCTAATTGCCCTGAGGAAAAAAATGTACTCCCCCATCTCCGTAATTACAGACTGCGTCACGTTCACCTCCTTGACACACTTGAAAGGAAAGAATAAAGCAGGAGCTAAAGGGAGGCCTGGGCCAGACCTCCACAAGCAAGCAGCTGCTCTTTGAAAAACGCCAGTCAGGAGAAGAGAATAAATGTCTAAGCAATATTTGCAGGCAGATGGAAGGTCGTTTCTCCTATTCAAAAATACTTTTGCATTTTGATAAGCCTATTCTGTTTTCCTGGTGCGCAGGGCGAGCTGTTTTATCAGCGCAGGTGGCTGATGCGCAGCTCCTGCGCACGCGGTCCGGCTTGTCGGAGGCGGGATAAAGCCTGGGGCTTTGCAAATCGCCCGTCTGATGCATAAAAAGAAGGTGGGATTTATGCAAAGAAGGGGAAAGAGAGGAAGGGGCGGCTAAGGGAAGGAAAAAGAGAAGAAAAAAAAAGAGAGAGAAAAGAGAGAAGAAAAAAAGAGAAAAAGAGAGAAGGAAAAAAAAGAGAAAAGGAGAGAAGGAAAAAATAGGAATAAAGCTATTTTTTGAACTCTAACCATGGTCCTTCCCCAAAGCTGCACACAAAAATCACAAACACACCATATGGTTTTCTGCCTTTCTCAACAACCTCTCTGTGGGGCTGCCCGCAATTACGTGGGCAAACAAATGCCTTTGACGAGGAGCCCGTGAGCAGCTGCTGCGTTATTTTCCCTCTCGCAGCACTCGCGTGCTTCAACCTCGTGAATGCCTAAACCAGTCAGCACCTACACTCTGAAATAGCCTTGAGACCTTCCTTGCCACCACGTTTTCCCCAGGAAGCTCCATCCAGGCCTTCTCCTGCGCGCACCCCGTGGGACATGAGCGGGGCCTGGAGGCCGGCGCCGCACGGCCTGGCACAGCCATGAGGTAACCGTGGGGGCCCGCGCTGCTATACCCAGCCATTAACGTTATGCCCTTAACGAGCTCGTGCCCCAGGGCCAACGGGGGGCTAAACCCAGCGGTAATGCCATTAATGAGCACAAGGCCCAGGCCCAACGGGGTAGCGAAGTGCAGGGGAGCGGATGGGACAGCCAGGGAAAGGGGGGCAAAGAGATTTTCCTTGCTTGGCTCTGCGAAGGCTTGACTACAGCCAAGAGGAAATTCTCAAAATCCAAGGTTACGCTGTCATCTTGATATTAGCCTATTTGCACTCCTGAACTTTTGCATATACTCATGAAATGCAGGTTTTAGTGGGGTAGGGAGGGAAAGGGGGAGCAGGGGAAACAACCATTTCCCTTCCGTGCTGAAATATCCAAGACCCGCAACATTTCCCAGAAAGCAGGAGTTTCTGACCACAAGGCAACGCAGTTCGCCATCAGTAGAAAACCTCTGAGCACTTCACTAAATTTATAGCACAATATTGGAGAAATATTTCACAATATTGTGAAATCTAGGCCCTGTAACACAACATTATTAAACACCATGTTACTCGTATCGTGTGCAGCTGCCCACAGGTCATTCATCAGAGATAACGGTAACAAATAATTGCAAATAAAAATCATAGTCAAAAAGCCTGAAATGATTGCTGGCAATGCCAACACTGTGCAGTTGGCCAGGTATGCTGCTACTTAACAGTACCCAGAGGAGTTACTGCGTTTGTAAAACCTTTCCAAGTAGCTCTAAGCACTCTTAGCGAATCAAGCGGCTGAAGGAGCCTCAAGTAACTCATTTTTCCATCTAGTTCTGATTTTCCTATTGCCCCTCGCACAAGAGCTCAGGACAAGCAGGCAACAGCCCGCGCCAGGCTTGTTGGCCCAGGCACAACGTCACGGGAAGCGGCGCTCGCTCGCATCCGTGCCCAGCCTTTGTGGATACACCCCCCAAAACGTTGTTCCCAAGAGAGCCAGAGCACATGGAAACAGGCTTGGTCAGGCTGCTCAAGCAGGAGGCCTCCAGTTCCATCGGGAAAGGGACCGGGTGGTTTTAACAAAGCCCTTGCCTGGTCCGCTGATGTTGTCAGTCGCTGGGAATGGCTTTGGAGCAATCACAGCCACTTCTGCTCTGAACACCACAAGGTTCAGGGACCACAACCATCCCGGGGGCACACAAGGGGAGAGGGCCTATACAGAAGGACGCAGATCTTGCTTACTGGCGTGACCGCATTTGAACCGTCCTCGCAATTCAAACCTTTACTTGTAAACCCCAGTTCCAGCTCTCTTATCTATGATAAAAATAAGGAACAGATTATTTAGTCGGCTAGACAGTAAATATTAAGACTGTGCATTTCCTGATTCCTAACATGAAAAAGTTTATCTTTAATAACCCAAACCACATTAACCATGTTGCACCCAGAGCTCAAGAAATCAGAATCTTCCGCTTTGGTTGAGGATAAAAAGAACTGGGAAAAGGAGATGGATGAAGCTTTGTGGAATTTTCTCAAGGGCTTTAAGCATTACTCACATTTATGCTGTATCTAAAATCATGTCAAAGGCACCCAGTTGAGTAAATGGACATTTAATGGTATGTTATAAATTGCTAAGGAGAAAAATAATATAAAATAAGACAAAAAACACAAAGATATTT